CAACCGCAGCAGCAGCAGCAGCAACAGCAGCAGCAGCAACAGCAGCAACAGCAGCAGCAGCAACAGCAGCCACACTAAACCCCCTGCTGCACTGTCGAGGGTTTCGGTTTTAGGGTTTTCTTTGTAGGGTTTTGGGGTGTATAGGCACCTCAGCACTGGTATTCTTATATATAAATATAAATATAAAATATAAATATAAAAAGAAAATATAAATATAAAATATAAATAAAAATTTAATATAAAATATAAATATAAACAAATATTAATATAAACACATAAATATAAATATATGAATATAAATACACAGCTAGCTACAGCTAGCTACGGCTAGGTACGGCTAGATACAGCTAGCTACAGCTAGCCACCGGCAACTACAGCTAGCTAGCTAGCTACAGCTAGCCACCGGCAGCTACAGCTAGCTAGCTAGCTACAGCTAGCCACCGGTAGCTACAGCTAGCTACAGCTAGCTACAGCTAGCTACAGCTGGCTACAGCTAGCTACAGGTAGCTAGAGCTAGCTACAGCTAGTTGCAGGTAGGCACAGCTAGCCACGGCTAGCTGCAGCTAGCCACAGCCAGTCGCAGCTAGCCACGACGAACAGCAAGGAGCCGCAGGTAGACACCACTAGCCACAGCTAGCTACAGCTAGCTACAGCTAGCTACAGCTAGCTACAGATGACAACAGCTACACAACAAAACTGCTAGCTCGCCAGCTGCACTGGCTACTGAATTTCCCCGCCGGCCGTCTAGCTAGCTAGCTAGCTGCGGCTAGCCAGCTAGCTAGCTAGCTAGCTGTGGCTAGCTAGCTAGCTAGCTAGCTAGCTAGCCACCAAAATAGCTGCAAGGACCCAAGGTCAACGCCCCACACGCCGGGGGGGCTGCGCCTCCCAAAGCTCCCCAAGGCAAACCCCTGCAGCTAGCTACAGCTAGCCACAGCTAGCCACAGCTAGCCACAGCTAGCTACAGCTAGCCACAGCTAGCTGCAGCTAGCCACAACTAGCTACAGCTAGCTGCAGCTAGCCACAGCTAGCTGCAGCTAGCTGCAGCTAGCTGCAGCCGCTACAGTTACCTACGGCTAGCCACAGCTAGCTACAGCTAGCCACAGAAAGCTACAGCTAGCCAAAGCTAGCTGCAGCTAGCTACAGTTAGCTACGGCTAGCCACAGCTAGCCACAGGTAGCTACAGCTAGCTACAGCTAGCTAAGGTAGATACAGCTACCCACAGCTAGCCAGACCTGCTCGTAGAGAGCCACGGCAAGCCACAGCTAGCCACAGCTAGCCACAGCCAGCCGCAGCTAGCCACATCTATCCATAGCTAGCCACGGCTAGCGTCAGCTAGCCACAGCTAGCTACAGCTAGCCACAGCTAGCCGTAGCTAGCCACAGCTAGCCGTAGCTAGCCACAGCCAGCCTCAGCTACCCACAGCTAGCCATAGCTAGCCGTAGCTAGCCACAGCCAGCCTCAGCTACCCACAGCTAGCCACGGCTAGCCGTAGCTAGCCGCAGCTAGCCACAGCTAGCCACAGCTAGCCGTAGCTAGCCGTAGCTAGCCACAGCTAGCTGAGCAGGGGCTCCCGTGGCACAAAGAATCACGGAGACCCTTTCCTGTATTTAAACTGCTTGCGGACGAATGCCTCTGCCTAAACCCTAAACCCTAAACCCTCTAAACCCTCCAAACCCTAAACCCTAAACCCTAAACCCTAAACCCTAAACCCTAAACCCTCGGCTATCGCTTTGGGGCCCCGTCTGGCCGTCGTTCGTTCATGGCGTCGATTTGCTTCGCATTTTGGAACTTCTCCAGCTCTGTACACCACAAACCCTAAACCCTAAACCCTAAACCCTAAACCCTAAACCCTCGATGCCGTCAGGGGGCCGTGACTTGGTTCGTATTGCTGCTGCTACTGTTGCTGCTCCTGCTGCTGCTCCTGCTACTGCTACTGCTCCTCTTGCTGCTCCTGCTGCTGCTGCTGCTGCTACTACTACTACTGCTGCCGCTCCTGCTACTGTGGCTGCTGCTGCTGCTGCTGCTGCTGCTACTACTACTACTGCTGCTACTCCTGCTGCTGCTGCTGCTGCTGCTGCTGCTGCTGCTGCTGCTGCTGCCGCACCGTTTTTGAGGCCTTGTCTGCCCTGTATGAGGAGGCCCACTGGGATCCGATCCCCGGGGGTGCAGCCCTTCAGCTGTACGATCAGCTCGTTCTCCTCTCTGCAGCAGCAGCAGCAGCAGCAGCAGCAGCAGCAGCAGCAACAGCAGCAGCAGCAGGAGCAGTAGGAACAGCAGCAGGAGTTAAGGGTGAGCGGGGTCTTGAGAGAGACCCGCTGCGCTGCTTTGGGCTCTGCTGA